ATAAAATAATAGATCTATTTTTATAGATAGATTATATAGATTGTCACGGCTGAACTTTAAAGTTGACTAGTCAATTAGTCGACTAGTTGGTGCAACCTCTAATATAGATAGCTAATAAATTTATATTAGTGGTTACACCGACTAGTCAACTAATTGACTTGTCGAAACAAAAGGCATCACGGCAGAACATAAAAGTCGACTAGTCAATTAGTCGACTAGTCGGTACAACCTCTAATATAGATAGCTAATATATACATATTAGTGGTTGCACCGACTAGTCGACTAATTGACTAGTTGAAATAAAAGGCGTCACGGCAGAACAATAAAGTTAACAGTTAACTAGTTAATTAGTCGACTAGTCGGTGCAACCTATATATATATATATATATATATATATATATATGTATGTATGTATATGTATATATATATATATATATATATATATATATATATATATATATATATATATATATATATATATATATATATATATATATATATATATATATATATATACATATACATACATACATATATATATATGTTCAATTCACTTATGTTAAACAATAAAAAATATTATAAAACACAGTTATTATTATATACCGTTTATTTTTTACATAAAAGATCAAAAGTATTATTTCCTATTTTTTTAAATAATAAAGTGCCCCAGCAGTCAGCACATGTGCTCTAACACACATTAATCTGTGTCTCTCCTGCATGATGCAAGTACAGGTCCTGCTCACTGCTGCTCCTCATCACTTTCTGTCCTCTCTCTTGACAGTCTGTATCATTAAGCAAAAAAAAAAAAAAAAAGCCAAACAAAATAAAAACCAATGCAGGTCATTTCAACACTGACTCCAGTCTCCTCCTCCTCCTCTACACCCTGAAAAATGATGCAACTAACCAGTTAGCGAAGCTTTGTTAACCGACCAAACATTACATTATTCTGTAGTCTACTGTAGAGAAAGCATATGTCCTCCTTTATTTCAGTCATTGATGATGCAGAATTAATATGCAGTCAACAGCTTGCCTCACTCAAATAATAGGACCCAGTAGCAGAAAGTCTAGAGGGGGGTTTAACCAGTGCTCAAATCTTAATAGGACATCAGACATGAGCCCCCCTTCATAAAATCCCTGTCTGCATCGTATATATGTGTGTTTTCGCTATTGAGGGGGTTCCAGACATGGGTTATTTCTGCCCCCCATCCAGATCTGGAGGATATATTAGATCGGCTTTGACGTGACGTGTCTTCAACGGTTGCTAGCCTATAGCTTCAAGCTAACTGTTTTGTTTACAGTCAGAGATTTCACATAAATCACTATCCAAAGCCTCGACTGGTGAAAAGGTTAGACTTTAAGCTGGATTGGGAAGTCTGTAGTGTGAAGGTTAAGATGAAATTACTATAAGGCTGAATTTTTTTAGGGGCTTATAAAATTTTGTTTTTATTTAGCTGTTTTTAATGTTATTGTTTTTTTTTATATCTTTTTAAAGCAAAATATTTTTTTAAATATACATATAATAATTTTAATATAATAGCAAACACACACAGATATTTTGTATTAATATTAGTATAACTTAGCTACTATTATAGATTTTATTATAGAAAAAAATATTATTATAATAATTTTGTAATATTAATTACATTTTTTTTCATTTTAAGTTCAGTTTCAGTTCAGTTAAAAATAAAAATACAAAATATTTTTTCATAATAAAATTTTAAATAATTTAATATAATATAATAAAAAAATAATATAATATAATTTAATGTAATATAATTTAATGTAATAATATAATATAATATATTTTTATATATTATATATTTTTAAATATTTTCTAATTTATTAGAATGAAATTTTTAGTTTCCTCATACACATGACATACTTAATGGTTCAAAAAACACAATATCCTGCACAAAACACAAATCTGATAGAACACATACTGCAATAGAAACCATAAAGACCACGCTTCATCCCCTACACCTGACATCCACGTTTGATCTCCATAACGCCTCAGCCGTTCGCCATGACACTGTCCCATGACCAAGCAGGCCAGCCGTTGTGCACTGATGATTAAGCAGGGTCAGTGGTTGGTCTGTCTGCACCTCAATCCCCAGAGGTGATATTAAGCCCCCCAGACTGGAACCAACAAGCCTCTCTCTCCACCCCCACAGGCCTGAGGTCAAGCCCAGCGCCCAGACAGTCCTGCCTCTGACCCCTGTCTGGCTCTGGGCTCGGGGGTCAAACATCATGGCTGATAAAGTCTGCTTCTCCTGCCCCTTCCGACTGCCGCTGGTAAACACAGCTCCGCGTCCTGGCATCCGTGTGCAAGTCAATCAATTCCCAAGCCCCTCCTACTGAACTAAGCCACACCTCTTTCAAGTGGTGTACATTCAATAGCTGTTTACATAAGATGCAAATTTATGTGCAAAGCTGGAATATATTAGCATAAATATTTGCAAATTAAGCACCGTTTCCTTCCAATGAGTTAAATAGAACAAAATCGACACTTCCTGAGTGCAAAATATCAAAAAGAAAAACTGAATTTGCTGCAGTTGGAGAAGCTACGGTGGATATCTTTTTCTGATGTAATATATTAATTACGCCACAGAAGACAAAACGTAATGAATGCTCTAGGACAGTGTTTCTCAACCTTTGCCTGAGACCCCCTTTTCCCCCAGAAAATATTGTAAGGCCCCCCTCCACATTTAAAGATCTTATCGCTCATATAAATTTGCAGTAGGTACTGTATGTCAAAAAAGGACGGTTTGTTTGTTACTATATCTAGATCTTGTTTATGGACAAATTATAGTCTAATGTAAAATATAAAAGCAAAACATCAGTGGGCCATTTGTTTTGGGTACACCTTGCGTTATTGTGGATGAGTCTTCTGAAAATGTCTTATAAATTTAGACGGTCTCATGCGTTCGTTAGCAAGAACTTTGGTGAAGATTATGCATGTGGCTGGGTCAGGGACTCTTTGCTTCAAGAAAATAAAATAAAACCATAGTTCAGGAAACTATCTTGCTGTTTCCAGTATTGCTAGCGCTGTGACCTAAAATGGTTGGAGCTTCCTCACCTGGGTCCAGTATGCTTGGGTCATTAGTTGTAGCTGCTGAAGGCGAATCAGTAAGACTTTGTCTTTTTTGTGGAGTACAAATCACAAATTTGTCAACCGAGGGATAAAATGAACTAAAGCAACATGATTGTTTTCCTAATTGTCCACTGCTAAAAATGTTTTTTTAAATATAACGTGTCCCCCCCACAGAACTTGCTGGGGCCCTCTTGTGGGTCGCGACCCCCCCTGGAGGTAATGGACCACTTTGCTTTCAAATATGGCTGACAGACTTTTAGATTGACTGAAACAACATTTCTGATTTTTTACATTGCGGTTGGTCTGTTGGTTTGCTCATTTTTGCGGTTCCATCTCTCCCAAATTTTACCGTCACATGATCTGTTAAAACAAAATCACATCAATTTTTTGATGTGCATTTAGAAATATGTGCGAAAACATGTTTTTATTTTATGCACATTTTTTTTTCTTATCAAATACACTTTTTCAAAAATTTTAATGCCTCTCTTGGCAATACCATTAAGCATTTTCATGCCATATTTCAATAATGCGTCTAAAAATGGGTGGCTGGAAACATGTTTCTTGATTTTTTTTCTCTGTTTTCTCTGTTTCATCTTTATCATCCTGGTAATGTAGCAGCTAATATTAATTTACACTGAGGAAGGGCAAAGGGTTGCTCAATAACTACTGAGAGGTTTTAGCTGCTGTCTGGGCTTTCTCTGCCTTTCTACACCTCCCTCTCTTCAAGTGTTCAATACTTTTTCCCTGTGTCATTTCATTCTATTATGCATAACTAGGGCCAGAAGGAATCTGCATACATTTTTTGCTATTTCTGCGCAGAATTTTGGTAAAAATCTACGGAATGATTTTGGGAGTATGAAATTAAAAGTAATACTTTTTTAACTTTTATTTGTTGTTTACAATGCAAATCCAATTAGATTCACTTTATTTGGTAAACAAAGCAAGTCTCTTATATAAAATATCTACTAAAAGCCAGAAAATATTGCTTTACAAACTGTATTGTAAATAAACCATATAAATATTTTTTTAATTAGACAATATTATTACTGAAATTAATTCAAACTGAATAAACATAAATTTTTACACATTTACACAAGCTAATCAACAGAATCAATGATAAGCTAAGAATCTGAGGAATTCTGAGCGTGCAGATTTTGTGTGTGGGCCTATGCATAAAATAATTTGTCAACTAATTAATATTGTTTTCTTTGCATGTATAGATTTATTTGGTTGTTACCAACATTTGGTGAAAATTTTAAAGTCGACAGCACCTTTATAAATATGTTTTCTGAGTAAAATGGTGACGTGTTCAATACTTATTTTCCCAGTGGATAGTCAAAAACTCAGTGAGAGGTATATTCCGCTTTAAATTGTGCTGTATTTATATTATTAATGTAAATAACGTTATGCTTGGTACTTTAGCATGACATCAGTACCACAAGCAAGTAGAAATTATTTAATTTGTATATTCCCTACAGTACAGTAATGTTGAGTGTGTTCGTAATTTGGGCGGCACGGTGGCTCAGTGGTTAGCACTGTCGCCTCACAGCAAGAAGGTTGCTAGTTCGAGTACCAGCTGGGCCAGTTGGCATTTCTGTGTGGAGTTTGCATGTTCTCCCCGTGTTTGCATGGGTTTCCTCTGAGTGCTGCTCCGGCTTGCCCTACAGTCCAAAATCATCATCATCATGAGATTAACACCTCATTGTATAACACCTCATTGTATACAGCTTTTAAAAAACACCTCACTGACTGTTTACAGTTTAACAGAAGCCCCTCCCACAAGTCACGCAAAGAATATTGGGCCATATGAAAATTGTGGATAGGAAGTGTGCTTCTGGTGTTGGGTTCTTTCAAGTGTCTGAGTGGTCTAACCAGTGTACTAATTTTGTCTTTTTGTGTGTGTTCTCAGGTGTTGTGACACATAAGAAAAACAGAAGAAATCTCAAGACAACAAGCGGATCAAGAGGAGATGTTTTTCCTTTCTTCTATTTTTTTTTTTTTTTGTCACTCTACGTAAAAAAACACTGTAGTTGTTGTTTTTGTTGGATCTGTCTTCAAGTAAGTAATTGTGACCAACAACGGTAAGTTTTTTAAATCTACAGTACTACAAAGTATATTATAGATATTAGAGCTTGATAGTGCAGATCTTTAAGTAGATGTCTGGATAGATGCTGTATTCATGATAGGCACATATTAGGATTTAAATTTATGATAAAAACATTTCTCAATAGATTTTCAGATAAATGTTACTGCATAAAGATGTTTTTGCACGGTTTAAGGCAAAGTTGTTATCCCTACTTTTTTATTAACTTTAAAACTTCTCAAGTGATGTTTAAAAGAGCAAGGAAATTTTCCCAGTACTTCCTGTTGTATATTTTTTTCAGTGTAAATCTTTTAGTTTGGCTGAAATAAATACAGGTTTTACATTTTAAAAAAGATTTTAATCAGGGTCAATATTAGAAACGTAATGGCTACATAATGGTTGGGCTACAGAACAAACCAATGTTGTCCAATGAGCTGTAACAACAGAGCTCTTGAGGTTTTTTGGGGGACAACTTAATTGATTTACGCTCAATCCACTTCAATTTGTAATAACAAGTTAACTTAATCAATTTATGTTGGGACTACTTGAAGGAATTGTGTGGAACCCAGCCTTTTTTAGCGTAGTTAACCTAATTATTACCATAGATAAGTCTTTAAATTGCACTTTAAGCGGAATAATATCCTGCAAAATAACTAGTAAAATATTATGTATTGTCTTCATGGCAAAAACAAAAGCAATTTGTTTTTTAAATAACTGAGTTATTAAAAATCAGTTATTTAAACTATCATGCTTAAAAATGTGTTAATATCATCTTCTATTCGTTAAACATCTCTTGGGAAATATTTGAAAAAGATTTCAAATGTCCTAATTAATTTTGCCTTTTACTGCATATATTCAGGTAGATATTTGGGTGAATATTCAGGTAGGTATGTGGATATTTGGATAGATATTCAGATAAAGCAGTAGATATTTGAGAATAGAAGTAGACAGATGTTCTTCTGGCAGAGAGTTATATATTCATATTCCAGTGGAAAGTTATTCAGGTAAAAATGTCTGTGTTTTTTTAAACTGTTCAATTGAACTGCACGATTGCCTTGTATTAAAGATGAAAAATAAATACTGAAATAAATCTTTCTTTGTAATCTGTGTTTTCTTTCCCCTCTTGGGTCTTTTAGCACTTTTCAAGAAGTATTTTGATGCTCTGAGTATTTTTTTTATGAACTAGAGCACGGGTGCCCAAACCTTTTTGTATAAAGGGCCAAACAAACAAACAAACAATCACATTTATAACACAGTGAAGTGCTGAATCTGCCTTTGACTTGATTTGCTCAACCAAAGTCTCAAAAGTTATAACTCAATGTCAAAAGTTATAAGATAATTATCCCAGAATAAATAGTGGCTAGCTAGGTCTGTAATTCTGATTTTGCTCGGTTGATATGAAGCTATGTGTGATATTTAATAGGATAACCTGATTACTGCACAATTCTGACATGAAACTTAAAATAATTTGTGTGCAAATTTACAAATTTTCAAAATTCATTTTGACATTTTTCTTTCCACAAGAAAACCAAGCGAGGTCCACAAAATGTATTTAGAAATCTATTTGGTATAGACTATTTATTCATTCATTCACAGTGGAATGAAACACCAACTTATCCAGCATATATTTTACACAGTGGATGCCCTTCCTGCTGCAACCCAGTACTGGGAAACACCCATACACACTCATTTATGCCCATACACTATACGGCCAATTTAGTTGATTCAGTTCACCTATACCACATGTCTTTGGACTGTGGGCGAAACCAGAGTACCCAGAGGAAACCCACACCAACACAAGGAGAACATGCCAAACTCCACACAGAAATCCCAACTGACCCAGCCAGCGACCTTCTTGCTGTGAGGCAACAGTGCTAACCACTGAGCCACCTTAAATCAATGTTGCCCTTAAATCATTTTTTTTATTTATTTTTGTTGTAAAATAATCCTACTGCAAGATACTAATACAAGGATGCGAAATCAAATGAGCACAAATGTAATCTAAATGTAATCCAAATGTAGTCAGATAACGTTATCATTAGGGATGCTCTGATCAGGATTTTGCAGCTGATACAGAGTTCCCATTCCTTGTCTTGGTGATCAGCTTATACCAAGTACCGATTCTGGTTTATCAAGCTTTATATAACTTTGCCATTGCATGAGCACATTTACCCTTTAAGTACGAGATCTCGTCTTATCTACACTGTAAAACCCAACAGTCAACTTTATCAAATGAAATAAGTTAACTCAAAATCTACAAAAAGTTAATTGTACTCATTTGAAAAGAGTTTTGAACTCAGTGTTGCAGGTAATGAGTTTATGAAATACCTCATTACTTCAACTTAAATCCAGTAAGTTCACAGTACTCATATAGATTAGTTTTTTTTTTAAACTCAAATGGTTTGTAACAGTCGGTTTCCTCAAATGGTTTGTTACCTTAACTTTTTGAGTTTTACAGTGTAAGATAATAAATTAAGGATGTTGCATACATAAAATGGTCAGAAACAGCTTTACAAAAAGAAAATAAATAAAAAAGATTAAAAAATGGTAAGAAAAATGACTAATGATGCAATTTGGAAACATTGCTCATGCGTTGTAGCTCTGCTGATGAATAACCCGGGCGCATAACCCAGATGCATCTTCCTGTGCTTGTAAACTTGTAAACAAACACTTGCGATTAACAAGTACCGAACGAGTCGTGAAATTTGATTAACGGCCAATACCGATCTCCGGCCAATCGATCGGAGCTTCACTAGTTATCATAATTTTTTTATCCAAGGTAATACATTAGCTGCACTGTAAAAATAAATCTGGGGTGCCGGACAAAACGTAATATAAAGGCCGTTAAATTACAAGAATTTACCGTTAAGTAACAGGCGTTAAATTACAGACATTTATCATTATTCTACGGTAAAATTCTGTAATTTAATGGTCGTTATTTTACAGGGTTTTTTCGCCACCCCAGCTGCAGAAAAAAAAAACGTAAAATCACGGATTTTTTTTTACAGTGCAGCTAATGTAATATCTTCAATTTAAAATGTATGATAACTATAGATGCTACGATCAATCTGCTAAAGATCGGTATCGGCCATGAATCACATTTCACGACTCAATCAGCACTCATTGATCTAGCATATCTTACGAACCGAATGGTAAATTTCTGTAATTTAACTCCCATTATTTTAGGTCATTTTAAAAATGCTGATTTTTTTACAGTTTGCTAAATTAATATTATATTATAAAATTGTGTCATGTAATTTGTAATCAGTTACTGATTACAATTCACAAGTAATCTACCCACCTCTGATCCCAGTGAACAACCATCCCATTTTCACAGGAAAACATAACTCATTTTTGTGTTGGTTAATTCGGACATTACATTTGAATGAAAATGTACGATTTTAAAAAGGAGACGTGCCTCCAATCCACACCCTTGAGCCTACACTTCATTAGGGGATGAGCAAGTCATACTAACATGTACAAATTGATACGAATTAGCTATTAAATCAAGAAGTTATGAATGATATTGCATCAGAAGAACTCTTGTATAGTTTTTTAACAGTGTCGCAAACAGTGACTTTTGCTAGGCCAGAAAGTGTTCATTACCTTGAGAAGGAATCCACTAAACACGCACACACACACACACACACGCACGCACATCAGGCTTCTCTGGTGGCAGCCCTGCTTCCCATTGTTTTCCTTTAACTGTCAGCTCAAGCTCTGCTCCAATGCGCTCCAGTGCACCTACTGAAATCTGCCCAGCCACACTGACCCGGGATCAGGGCCAAGGCACCTCAGCCACCAGGAGGCCAGACATGGGCCTGAAAGAAAGCGAGAAGCAGAGATTATCCTATTCTGGGCCGGTCCGGCAGAGGGTACGGCGGTATTGACCACCCATGGAGCATCCATTGAGCCATGAGATGGTCTGATATACATGCTTACTGAGCATGGCAGATTCCCTTACTCTCGACGGGATAAACCCACGCAGAACAAGCCTCTTTCCGAGAGATTAGGGTGGCAGCTCTTGTCCCCTTATTCGCCCCCCCTCTTTTCTTGGACCATCCTCTGCCCAGAGACAGGGCTCAGAGTCTGCCGGAGGTGAAGCAGATTTTGGTGGTCTGCCAAGATGTTCATTGTCTTTGTCGTAAGAGGTGAGGAGAGGGAATTTGGCCGTCAGGTTTAGCATCCTCTGCCTGTCGTATTAGCTTTCTGGTAACATCAGATGAGAGAACAGAACAGTGTTTAGCCAGCTTTATGAAATCTGAATGCAAATACAAACACATGACAGATTTGTGTGATTCATCACATCGCAGAAAGCAAATATTTACGGTTACAGATACAAATGTAGCGTCTTTTTCAATTATATGACGTATTTTTATATTGAATCATGATTTTAGTTGTCAAAAATTGCGGTTCGTGGTTATGAACACTCAACAAACGTACATATTATATATAATATATTAACAAAAATGCATTTGTTTCCAGTAAGATTTTAAAATACAGGAGGAGTTGTCTATAGATGACTGGAGATGTTTAGTCATTAAAATTATTTGTGATTATATAGTATAAAATTACTGTTTAATATCACTTCTTAATAATAATAATAATCGATAATTTTTATTTTAAAATATATTTGTTGTTTCATTTATATCCATTATAAAATAAATACTGTCGATATTTTAAATATTTAATTTCACTCAAAAGAGAAATTTTTTTGCTTGTTCAAACTACTTATGCAAAATTAGCTGAAACAACATAATTCTTGAGGCTTCATTGGGACAACTTAATTTTTTATGTTCAATACACACACACATTCATTCATTCATTTTCTTTTCGGCTTAGTCCCTTTATTAATCAGGGATCACCACAGCGGAATGAATCGTCAACTTATCTAGCATATGTTTTTCGATGTACATGCCCTTTCAGCTGCAACCCATCACTGGGAAACATGCATATACTTTCATTTACAGTCATACACTATGGTCAATTTTATCTGCCCCTTATTGAAATTATTTGTGATTATATAGTTTAAAATTACAATTTAATGTAATTTAATAATAGTAATTATAATAATAGTAATAGATTTATTTTGTATGTATTTGTTGTTTCATTCATGTCCATTATAAAATAAATACTGTTGATAGTCAAAATATTTATTTTGGATTGCTCATCCTTGTAATAAGGCATCACAAGATCAAAAAAGCAAACAAAAAGGAAACAAAAACACTTTACCTTGAAGCGGCCTTTTTATTTTTACACGTTTTTTTCCTGATTTTTTACTGTTTCATCTATTGTGGTGATTTAATAAATGTTTTTTAATGTTATTTATATTAAAAGGTGTTTTATTTGTTTATTTTGCTTATTTAATTATTTTGTGTTTAATGTTATTTTGATAAAAATTTGTTGTGTCTGCAATTAATCTTTCATCAAAAGATCAAAATAATAGAGCCTGTGTTCACATAAAACAAATAAGAGCATTAAAACACACATGAAAGAGTGAATGTTGGTGAGGAATTATCAATGATTTAATGTCTAAATCAGGACGAGGTATAAAATATACAGAAAATAAATAAGAAAAAAGTGGAACTGAGTTTCACAAACATCAAATAGTCCGTCATCATTCCAGC